AAAGCCCCAGTAGATAGTTGTATGTCATAGCTGCACATCCTTCTAGTTGCTGTATGTGGGACGCGGCCTCAGCATGGCGGGAGAAGCAGTGCATCTGTGCGTGCCCGGGGTCTGAACCTGGGCCACCAGCAGCAGAGCGCGCGCACTTAACCGCTAAGCCACGGGGCCGGCCCACAGGTTTTTAATATTAATGAAACCACAATAATTTTACACAAATTGGAAATTTCACTCTTTTCCTAGGGCCCAGAATAGTTTACGTAACATTGGACCATTTGGTCCTTACTCTTTTATTCCTCAATCAAGCGCTTGAGCTTTTTTCTTTTTAAATGTATCTCTTTTTTTTTAAGCTCCTGCTTTTGGATTTGTCCTTTCAACCAAGTTTGCCTTCTCTTTCAATAATTTGTACCTGTAAGTTTTAGTATGCATGCTAGGTTTCTTTATTTTCTTTTTTTTAAATAATGAAAGCATTTATGGCTATACATTTTCCTCAGAGTACAACTTTTGCTGGGTCTCAGATTTGGGGACCTTGTGTTCCTGAAATCAGGGAGATAAGATTTTAGTACTCTAAACCTCAGTGGGGCAGGGCTTGTGTTCTTTGAGCTTGAGGGCAGGGACCATGTCTGCCACGGGACCCCAGGGCCTAGAACAGTGCTGAGCACAGAGTAAGGCAGCAGTGAATACCTGCTGACCAGATGGACAGATGAATGAACACACCAGAGGGAAGGAAGCCAGCAGTTGGGATCAGAGACTTTAGGGACTCATTAAAAGTCACACAGCTCATAGCAGTGCTGGCTTGAAAACCCAGGCCTCATAATTCTCTGTCCAGTAATCTATCACCTCACAAAGAAGGGATTGGCAGAGGCAGAATGGATCTGCTTTCTGAAGGAGTATAGCAGAAAGGAAAACAGAGCTAGGGACACAGTCTAGGTAAATGTGAGAGTAGAGGGGTGCTGGATGGTGGTCAGAAAGGTAGCTTCAAGGTGACCCCGTCTACAGGAGTGAGAAGGAATTAATTTCAAGAGCTCTGGTTTGCCAAAGGCCTGGTGGGTGGGGAGAGATGGTGAAGTTAAAGGTCTCTGAGAGAGGTGGTTCTGGTCTCCTGGGGAGTGTTTGGCATTCCTCAGCAAGAAAGAGAAAAAAGGTGGTTTTGAGGTGAGGGAAGCTGGTGGCTTCACAGCCATCTGGGATCCTCAGAGCAAGCCAACGGACTCCTATGGGCACTTTAATCCTCATTGGTAGGCTGAGAGGACAGTGGCCCCAGAAGCCTCTCTGGATCTTAGAACCCTTTCCTCCATCCCCAGGGAGGAGGCAGGACAAGCCGTGTCCCCACTATCTGGCCATCCCTCTAAGCACTGGCTCAGGCAGCAGCGGGTGATGGGGAGAGCGGGCCTCCAGCCCCCCTCCCTGGGAGCCAGCAGCACTGAGGAACAGGACGGGCGGGGGGTTGCTGAGCTCCCCAACCTCAACTCTCCTCCCTACCCCAAGAAACCCTTTGAAAGGTTTTCCTGGCAGAGTTTAAAGCTTCAATTCATTCAACTCCTTGGCATGAGGCCCAGGATGAGGCGATGGTGGGAGGGCCCAGGCCCCACATCCCAGCCCTCACCTTAGCCGCCCCCACTTCCTGGGGACCCTGGCAGGCAGGCCTCCCCCTGCTCTTCCTCTTCATCCAATAACACCCACCCTGTCTCCCCTCTGGAACCCAGGTATCCTACCCCTTTCCCGAGGAGCAGATGGCCAACCCAGAGGCTCAGGCTTCCTAAATCAGACATTTAAATCCCATAATCCTTGGTGAGAGGCTGACGAGGGGGCAGCAGCCCAATCCTAGAAGCAGGGGCAGGAGAGAACCTTGTGCCAGCCCTGGCAGGAGGGGAGGAGGGACAGTTGGTTCCCAAGTTATGAATGGAGTTACCCCCTCCCTTGTTGTCATGCAGGCTGCAGACTGACCCAGTCTCTAGCTTTTGTTCTCCTCCCGGAACCCGGGCATTGGGCCCCCCAGCCCACACTCCCTGGAGACTCAGGTGGCTGCCTCCCAATAGCACCTCCTTATTTACCCCTGCCCTGTTGGCCTCAGGCACGCATCCCTCAGACATGCAGGTGGTAGCAAAATTTTATTGTAAAATAAGAAACCAATATAAAAATGGGATATAAAAAAGGGAAGAGGAGAAGGGGTGTGGGTGGCGAATGCAGATGTGCCTTGCAGAGTGCAAAAGAAATCAGCCCTGAGCATTCGGGAGAAGTAAAACAGATCTCAGTAGACAGACCAGGGATGGGATCCTCTGTGGTGTGGGACGGGGTGAGATTTCCTCTCAGGTGTTGAGCTTCACCAAGAGGTTAGATAGGATTTGGCCTGGCCAGCAGAGAAGAAACTTGGAAATTCCCTACCTCAACTAGCTGCCCAGTCAGAGAAACTATCAATACATCCAACAGCAGGGACAGGGAGCCAGCCCCCAAGACAGCAACAAGTCCCAGACATCGTGTGATAAAGGGCATTTTCAGGACCAGACATACATTATTTCATCATCCCTCACAACAAATCCTGTGAGGTAGGTATAATTATGGGCACTTTATAAATGTGGACAACGAAGTTAGGAGAAATTCAATAACTAGCCAGCTTCCTTGGCTACTACGGTGGGGAACTGGGCTTCCAACCCAGTGTATGCCTGGTTCTAAAATGTTCCTTACACAGAGGAACATTTCACTACCTCTCCCAAACGTTCCTCACAGTAAAAACATTAAAAGCTAAGCTAGAATGTTCTAGCACCCCCCCACCTCCCCAGAAAACCACCAGTGCAGGCCGATTTCTTTACTGGAGTCCCAGGCCAAGGCAAATGGAAGAATTCCTGGGGGTTTCTGAGGCACACCTGTATCAAGCCTAAGCTCAAGCGCCTGAGTACCCAAAAATGCCGGGGAAGGGGGTGAGGATGGGGGTGTCAATCGGGGACAGGAATCAGAGGATGTCAGTCCGAGTCAGGCCCCTCTCTCTTCAATATCAGTTTTTTATGGCAGGAGGTAGACTGCCCTTTCTTAGACTTCAGGTGGCTGTCGGGGAGAGAGAAGGGGGAGGGGAAGAGATGACATCATTCAAGTGAGAGGCTCTGGTTCCCTCTTCCTGGAGGGGCTCGGAAGGGCCCGAGGCTGGAGCAAGGGGAATTTAAGTTAAAAATGTCTGCACCACCAACTGCAGACATGTTTACTGAGCACCCTGGGGTACGTGTGTGTGTTAATCTCTTAATCTTCCCTTATCCCATTGGACAAATGAGGAAGCTGAGCCTGGGAAAGGGAGTAACAAGGCCATACAGGACTCACTAGCACTTTGCAGGGTGAGGATTTGATCCCAAACTCTGGCTTTGTTTGTCCGACACTTCCACACAGTTATCAGCCCTCTATTTGAGACCCTAGCTCTGAGCTAGGGGTTGCTGGAAATGGCAAAGAAATATCTATGCTCATCTGGCTTTGGGACCTCTCAAAGGTCCTGAAGGGGTTTGTGCACCACCCCCTGCAGGAAAATGGTTGTATGATACAACTGGAGGAAGACTAAAGAATGGGCAGGGCTGGGACCCAATGGGAGGGGATCAGTTGCCTTTTACCTTGCAGGTAGGATTAGAATGTAATCCCATGGCTTTCCAACATAGGAAAGCAGGGGAGGGAACCCAGGTCACTCACCTGGAGTGAGCCCTGCTTCCCCCTGGCTCCTTTCCAGCCTGAGCATCTTTCAGCTCCAAGGCCTCATTCAGCTCTCGGAACATCTCGAAACGTTCACGCCCACGAATCTGTGGCAGGGGAGGAGGGGGATAAAGAAGTATTAGGTAAAGTCATAGAACCATTTTCATGTTTTCTTTAACAATTTTCTTTTTGAAAGGTGGTCCTTTAAAATGTATGTCATGGTGCAAGCTCATGTTCTTAAGTTAGGCACAACCAGGAGCCATTATCTTGAGGCATCACTGCCCCCTGATGGCAACTGTCCCAATTGCAGGCAAAGCAGTTAAGAAAAGAGCATTTTAAATGCTAGACTTGAAACTTAAATCTTCCAACCCAATATTATTAACTACAAGAGTTAGGGACATGAACTGAGGAAAGGATGGATAGAAACACTGGGCCTAACCTCACATTTGCTACATGTACATCTTTCTTCCCTTATCTAATCCCACTGAGTGGGGGTAAGAGACTGCATATTTGTTTCTCCCAGAGTTGGTACCTGAAGGGTGAAATATTCCCCATCCAGTGGCTTCTTTTGCGGAGGAGAGGAGCTGGTGGGTAGTACTGGGAAATAGGCAAGGAAAGGTGAGAAGAGTGAATTTTGGGCAGAACTGCACCCTCTCCACCTCCTCCAACTCCTCCTGTCCTGCCTACTTACCTCTCTTAGTGCTCCCAGGGGGTCGCTCAGGGCAAGGCTCCCCCTTCTTGCGGAAATTTTCTTCCTCTGTGCGCCGATCTCTCCCAGGACAGGCACAAACACGTACCTCAAAGGTGTTCCGTCCCAGCAGATTACCACTACCAAGGTAAGAAGAGGGAAGCAGGAGGCAGTAAGGAAGGTGGGCCCTACCTCCCTGTTCTCTGGTAAACTAGTCCCCACCTACTCCCAACCACCCTCATCCTATGTGGAGCCAAGTGCCAGCTCCAGGCATACTGAGAAGCCACTGGTAAGAGAAGTCCCAAAGCCAGAGAAAAGAAAACTGGGAGGGAGCAGCAGAGGAGATTCTACAAAGGGGATGGGAGTGAGAGGGAAGGTGGGTGGTAGCACGGGAGAAGGTGGTGAGGGGCAGGGCCCAGGGGACAGACAGGCAGAGGCAAGGGAGGATTGTGCCAGTGTGAAGGCCAGCACGTGAGTCCCTACCTGGAGTCTTCCAGTGTGATGATAGTGACGATGGGCCGCCGGTTCATGCCCCCCATGCAGGAGCTGTTACACATGAAGTTGTAGTGGATGGTGGTACAGTCAGAGCCGACCTGGGAGAGAACATAGGCCCAAGGTGAGGCCATTCAGCCCTAGGGAGGCCTATAGCCTCTGTAAGTCTCAGTTTCCTCAACAGTGGAATGGGGATAACCGATCTGCTCTGCACTCCTCACAGGGTTGTAGGGAGGTTGAATAAGAAGCAAGAGAAAGCCCCCCATCTCTCTCATCTGGATGGCCACTGACAAACCCTTCCAGCACCCTCCTCCCAGAGACACCAGTTGCCAAACCAGACCTCAGGTGGCTCGTAGGGCACCACCACACTGTGTCGAAAACTGTTTGTGTCCTCCACATATTTGGCATGCAAATTTCCTTCCACCCGGATAAGATGCTGAGGAGGGGCCAGACCTGAGAGCAATCAGGGAGGAATTAGGGGCTTGAGGACTCCAGGCACCAGCCCTGCCCCGTCTGCAGCCCCTGACCACTCACCATCGTTATTGTCAGAGCAGCGCTCATGGTGGGGGCAGCGCCTCACGACCTCCGTCATGTACTCTGACTTCTTGTAGATGGCCATGGCACGGACACGGGTGCCAGTTGGGGGTGGTGAGCTGACCCAGAGTTGCACGGGGCAGGTCTTTGCCAGCTGGCAAAACAGCTTGTTGAGGGCAGGGGAGTACTGTAGGAAAAGGAGAAAGAATAAATGGAAGGTCAGGAGACAAGTGCCCAGGGGGTCAAACGAACAAACACTGTTTAAGCACTGACTGGAAGCCGTGCACTATGTGTGGACGATGGCTAGAGGTGGCAGGGTTGGGGTTTACATCCCAGAAGCTTATTTACAAAAGCCAAGGAAGGAATGAGAGTAAAGAAAAGAGCAAAGTTCCATGGTCCCATGAGAGATGCTGAGAGTATGATGGGAAGGATGAAAGCCCAAGGTCAAGGGGGAAAATTCAACTTTGGGACAGAGGTCAAAGGTCACAGACCAAGAAGTAAAATGTAGAAAGACTGACAAGAAGCCAGACGCCGAAGAGGAATCCCAAAGTTCTGAACAGAAAAATCCAGAGGGATATGGCTAGACATCAAACAGTCACATGGAAGCCAGCCCCTCAGGGCCACTCACCGTGCAAGTAACAGACTTGGCTGTCCCAGAGTTCAGAAACCCTAAACGGAAGCCATAACAGCCGGGGTACGTCTTCTGGGAAGGGACAAAGGATGACAGGGGCCAGGAGGTGGCTGGTGCAGAGGCTACTGGTGCGGGAGCTGCTGGCATTCTGGTGGCTTCATCTGGATCTTCATCCAGCCAGGTCGAAACATCTGGGGACAGCAACAGTTCATCCACTGGTGGGGACAGCTCAGTGGACTGCGGATGGGAGAAACAAGAGTCAGAGGGCCAGGCTCCCAGCACCCTGCCCTGCAGCCCCTGGTCCCCCCCAACTCCTAGTCCTTACCAGAAGATTGTTTTGAGGAAGTCTGAAAGACAAGAGTGGAAAGTCAGTACTGGTTTTGTTTCCTACAGGCCTCTACTAAGGGGCTGGGGATTGGGTGAGTTGGGCGGGGGTGGGGGGCCAGCGGTTATTAGAGGCTGGGCAGTGAACACGCCCCTCCCAAGAGACCTCCACTCACAGATTCCACAAGTCTGAAAATGTCTCCTGACTCAGAGAGGGCTCGATGATGAGTTCTGACTGTGGCTCCTCCATTGCAGCGCCTTGGATGGCGGTGTGGCTGCTGTGGCGGGAAAATTGAGGATCCAACATGAGACACACTCAACCCTGGGTCACCGGCCCCAAGGCAGGAAGTCCCCCTCTGCCAACACCATCCCAAGGTCCCAGACACAGCCTGAGGATCTGCTACTGGGGTGGGACACAGAAGTCTCCTGACTTCCCGGGGAGCAGGAAGGGTTGCTCCTTCACACCTTCTCTTTTCAAATCTTTTACCACAACCCAGGCTGCTCTCGCCCTGCCCCTCACCAACCTCACCGCATACTTCCTTGCGCAAAAAAGATAACCAGAGATAACCAGAGTCGGTTTCCAACCTTCTCACCACTGAATCAAGCCTTTCTAAAAGTGAACCTTACTTCTGCCCTCCTTCCTGGTCATAAGAATGAAGTAACTCTCAGCCTACTCCATCTGGGGGAAGATACTTCCCTTGACCTCCACATTTCCCACCTGATCCTCTTCATTGCAAAGCTTCCTGAAGAAGCACTGTCTTCACTCTCACTCCTGGCTCACAAATCCCTCATGACCTGGCCCCTGCCTGCCTCCTTGATCTCATCTCTTAGCTCTCTCTTCCTTCCCTGATGCTTGAGCTACACTGGCTGCCCTTCTCTGCTGTCAGACACTCCCCAGTTCATTCAACTGGTGGTTCCCTCTATTGGGAACATTGGTCCCACCATTACCACAGGGTAGGTTCCCGTCTTACTGAAACCTCACCTTGAATGTCACACTTCCTTAGGGGTTTTCCCAGACTACTCAATCAAAGACTGCCAGCCAAACTGCCCCCCTATTTTAATTCTCACAGTCCTTACACTGTCTGATACCTTTATTGTTCATTTCATCTGTTTCCTCTAGTGGAATATAAACTTCCTCAGCTCTTTGAGACTTTTATGGAAGGGAGCTCGTGTGAACAGGGAGGGGCTCAGAAGTGAAAAGCCCTAGGTTTGACATTGTACTGTTACTTAAATTTGCTGCATGACCTCACCTATCTTGAAGGGCTAACCTTTTGGGTTTCTGAGTTTTACTCATGTTTGTGTTTTCAGTGCAAAGCCCTTAGGGGCAGCTGCTCCGGTGGCAGACAGACAAGGCTGTGTAACTTAGGGAGGTTATTTACCCTCTCTGTGCCTTAGTGTCCTTTGCTCTTAAAATAGTACCCTACTTATTATGGGAAATTAAAAGAGCTGAGAAAAGTGCCTGGCACATAGTAAGAGTTCAACAACTATTTCTCTTTATATGAGTGTTCCATTTTATTTGTTCTACATTATCATTCTTGAGTGAGAACTTTGTGATTGTGAGTGGGTGGGGCTTTTGTGGTACTGCCCCTGTTAATGCTAGTTCACCTCCTTCAGGGAACTCTGTTCAGTAAGCATGCTAGGAGGGGCTGTCCTGGGCTGGTGGGCCCCTCAGTCCCACTGGGAGGGAGACAGCCCCAGGACAGAGGAAGTCTTCCTCTCTCAGTCCTCAGTAGAAACTAAATTCTCAATGTTTTTCTCTCTAAAGAGCAGTACTTCCCATGGGTATGAGCATCAGGGGGCCATGATACTAAATTGTCAGAAGCTGAACCAGACCTTCCAAAAGGTTGGGGAGGCAGGATGGTTCCACAGGCAGCCTTGGTGGGAAGGTGATAAACTCAGCTGGGACTCTAAGGAGGGGCAGGTGGGACCACTATCATAACAATGGCTGCTGTCTATAGGCCCTAGGGGGCCCACTGCTTCCAGTGGCTTATCTCATTAATCCTCTCAAAAAGCCAGTAGGTAGGTATCATCAGATGAGGGAACTGGGGTTAAAGGAATTGTCATTTACCCAGGCTCAGAAAGCTCCCAGGGGGCAGGGCCAGGGATTTGAACTTGTGCTGTCTACAGCCACACCCAAGGCAATGTTCTAAATAATGAACACCCTCTAATACACCCTCTAAATAATGACGTTCCCCTTGGCTTCACCCAGAGTCCAGTGTGAAAATTTTTTTTTGGCTGAAAGCTATTTGATTAGGTAAAAAAAAAAAAAAAAAAAAAGATTATGGAAAGAAATAAGGCAGCGTCTGGTCAAGTTGAAAACACACACACACACACACACACACACACACACCTTATTACTCAGCAAAACCACTTCTGGGTAGAACCCCTAGAAAAATGGTTGCATGGGGGCAGCAGCAGGAGTCTTACACAAAAATGTTCATGTCATTGTTGTTCCTAATGGCAGGTGACAAGAAACAGTATTACTATCCATCAGTAAAGAACAGCGAAATGAAACATGGTGTATTCCTTCACCAGAGAAATTTACTACAGTAATTTAAGGAAATGGATTGATCTGTATAATGTGTAACCAGATATAGCTTGGAAACATGTTGGGTGAAAAATACAATTTGCAAGAAAAAAGCAAAACATAGTAATGTAAGTAGTTTATGTAAATTAAAAATATAAAACTGTTTATTGGTTATAAACATTATGTATGTAAAAGTATGAAAGACAGGCAAGAAGAATAAAAAAGTCACAAAACCTATGATAGCGATGGTCTAAGGGAGAGGGGTATTTATGCTCAGGGGACTGGAGATATAGTCAAAGGGGGTTTTAGCTCTATTAACAAAGAAAACTTAAAAAGATGGTATCATGCATACATTACTTGTGTAATTAAAATATGGACACAAATAAGACAAAATGTTGTGTTAAAATTATTTGATGGGAATATGTATTATGTTATTCTGGTACTTTGTATTTTTCCAAAATAAAAAAATCTAAAAAAGAAAAATAAAACTTATAGAAAATTTCAAACATATAAAAAGGTAAACGGAATAACGTACCCCCTTGTACCCATCACCCAGCTTCAAGAATAATCAACATTCACGGGGCCGGCCCGGTGGCATAGTGGTTAAGTTGGTGTGCTCTGCTGCATTGGCCCAGGGTTTGCAGGTTCGGATCTCAGGCGTGGACATACACACCGCTTATCAAGCCATGCTGTGGCAGGCGTCCCACATATAAAGTAGAGGAAGATGGGCACGGATGTTAGCCCAGGGCCAATCTTCTTCAGCAAAAAGAGGAGGACTGGCGATGGATGTTAGCTCAGGGCTAATCTTCCTCACCAAAAAAAAAGAATAATCATCAACATTCTGCCTTTATTGTTTCATCCATACCTCTAGCCACTCCAGGTTTTCGAGGTGAAACTTACATAGGTTGAAACACGCAAATCTTAATTATACCATTTTGATTACAAAATTGGACAAATTTTGATACATCCCTGTAACCCATCCCTACCAAAACAAAGATATTATTTTCCTCTGTTTTCTTCCAAAAGTTTTGTATTTTCTGTGTCGGTCTATTATCCATCTCCAATTAATTTTTGTGTATGGGGTGAGGGAGGAGTCAAAGTCCATCTTTCTGCTCCAGTTGTTTCCACGCCATTTGTTGAAAGACTTTCCTTTCCCCACTGATTCACTTTGGTGCCTTTGCAGAAAATCATTTTACTACACTTATGTGTCTTTTCCTGGACTCTGTTTATTGGCTGTTGTCCTACCGTAGCTTTATAGTAATCTTGAAGCCAGGTAGTTTAAGACCTCCAACTTTGTACTACTTTTTCATTTTGGAATCAGCCTGTCAGTTTCTACGAACAAGCCTGGTAGGATTTTGATTAGGATTGAATTAAATCATTTTAGAGAGTACTGACATCTTAACACCACTGAGTGTTCCAATCCATAAATATGGTATCTCTTTCCATTATTTAAATCTTCCTTAAATTCTCTTCTTAAAATCTTCCTTAAATTTTGTGGTTTTCAATATAGAGCTCTTGTCCATCTTTTGTTTAATTTATCTGAGTATGCCATGTTTTTGGATGCTATTGTAAACGTCACTGTTTTTAAAATTCATTTTCCCACTTCAGATTCAATGGTTGCTATTATATAAAAATACAGTTTATGGGGCCGGCTTGGTCGCGCAGCGGTTAAGTGTGCGCGCTCCGCTGTGGCAGGCCGGTTTGCAGGTTCGCATCCTGAGCGCGCACTGACGCACCGCTTCTTAAGCCATGCTGTGGCGGCGTCCCATATAAAGTAGAGGAAGATGGGCAAGGATGTTAGCTCAGGGCCAGTCTTCCTCAGCAAAAAGAGGAGGACTGGCATCGGATGTTAGCTCAGGGCTAGTCTTCCTCACAAAAAATAAAAATAAAAATACAATTTATGGATATTGCCTTTGAAACCCGTGACCTTGGCTATAATCACTTATTAGTTCTGATAATTTTAAAATGGATTTTTGATTTGAATTTTTTGCATACACAATCATACCATCTGTGAATAAAACAGTTTTATTTCTTCCTTTCCAATCATTATGTTTATTTCTTTTTCTTGCTGGCTAAGACCTCCAGTACAATGCTGAAGTGGTAAGAGTAGAATACTTTTCTAGTTCCTGATCTTAGAGGAATTCAGTCTGTCACTATTATGTAAGTTGTTAATGGTAACTTGATTAGGGTTGCCCTTTATCAAACTGAGGAAGTTTCCTTTTCCTAGTTTGCTAGCAGGTGGTTTTTTTTTTAAAATCATGAATAGGTGTTGCATATTGTCAATATTGTCTTGAATTGATCATAGGATTTTTATCCTTTAATCTGTTAATGTGGCAAATTACACTGAGTTTTGAATGTTAAATCAACATTGCAATCCAGGGATAAACTCCATTTGGTCAGGATTTATTTCTTTTTTTTTTTTTTTTTTTTTTTTTAAAGATTTTATTTATTCAGTTTTTTCCCCCCAAAGCCCCAGTAGATAGTTGTATGTCATAGGTTCA